ATTGCAAGACCGCATTGTCTCTCCAAAAAATAAATTAATTAGCTGGGCATAGTAGCACACGCCTATAGTCCCAGCTACTTGTGAGACTGAGGCAGAAGGATCACTTGAGCCCAGGAGAAGGTCAAGGCTGCAGTGAGCTATGATTGTACCACTGCACTTCAGCCTGGGCAATAGAGTGAGACCCTAACTCAAAAAAAAAAAAAGAAAAAGCCTGGTCATTCAAAAAGGTAATTAAATAGTTTCTTGCTCTTGTGTTTAACTTTCTTCTCTAAACATATAAAACACAATGCTTTGTGTTATCTTTTTTATTATTATTATTTTATTATTGTTATTGTGTGTGTGTTATTTGGTATCTTTTCATTTTTATCTCTGAGCTTATGTGGATCTAGTTCTCCTCTTAGTGTGTGTGTGTGTGTGTGTGTGTGTGTTTTAATAAGGTTGTCTTTGTTAGAACTCTATCTGTGGATTCTTTGAAGGAGCCTTCCTCAAGGGAGGATTTGTGTTTACTTCTTCCAGGTGTCTAGAACTTACTTCTTTTTTCATATGGTAAACATTTATTTTTGATGAATTTGTTTCTACAATTATTTAGATTATTTATTTATTGTTTCATTTTTCACCTGCGAATTAATTTTTATATGAGGATAGACGTAAGATCATATTTCTCAGGAAGACACACATGTTCCATCTGTAGGTAAAACAGATATTTCCCAAGATGCTTTACAGCCCATCTCCCCCAGCCTTTTGAATCCACTTTTTAATGTTTTAATTGTAATGCATAACACATGCAGAAAAAGGCACATATCCTCAGTGTACAGCTTGATAAATTTCTACAAACTGAGCATGCTCATGGAACCAGCACCCAAATCAAGAAACAGAACATTACCCTGTCTCAGAAGAACCCCTCTCATGTCCTCTTCCCACCTTACCCAGACCCTTCCCAAAGGTAACTACTAGCCTGATTCCTAACAACATAGATTAACTTTGCCTGGTTTTTAGCAGATGTTTGTGTGCCTGTCTTTTTCTAGCACTCAGCATTGTGTTTGTGATCTTCATCTGTGTGATTGCATGTAGTAATACTTTGTTCATTTTCACTGATGTATAGATTCCAATGGTGTTGACATATCACAATTTACTTATCTATTCTACTGCTAATGGACATTCTTGTTAGGGGATATTACAAATAGTGCAATTATGAACATTCTAATTCTAGTACATGTCTATTGGTAAAACAAATGTATGTATTTCTGTTGATACATACCTAGAAGTGCAACTGCTGAAGTGGAATTGCTGAATCATATGTTATGTATAAGTGCCAGACAGTTTTTCAGTCAACAGTATGGAAGGGGGACCCCCAAAAAATAGAACAAAACATTGTGTATTCTTACGTGTTTAAATATCAGTCACCCTCAAAGTACTCTCCATTTGAGGCAATACACCTATTGAGATGCTTTTTCCATTGCTCAGAACAGTTTTTGAATTCATCCATTTGGATGCCTTTTTTTTTTTTTTTTTTTTTTGAGTTGGAGTCTCACTCTGTCGCCCAGACTGGAGTGCAGTGGCCGCTCTCGGCCACCACAGCCTCGACCCGCTGGGCTCCGGCAATCCTTCCGCCTCAGCCTTCCAAGTAGCTGGAACTACAGGCGTGTGCTACCACGCCTGGCTGATTTTTTATTTATTGTAGAGGTGAGGTCTCGCCAAGTTGCCCAGGCGGGTCTCAAACCCGCGGGCTCAGGCAATCCTCTCACCTCAGCCTCCCAAAGGCGCGGGATTACAGGCTGAGCCACCGAGCCCGGCCATTTGGATGCCTTTTAATGCGTCTGCCATTTTTTGCTTCACCTCTTCCACATCAGCAAAAAAGTTCCTTTGAGGATTTTTTTCATCTGAAACAACAACAAAAAAAGTCACTTGGAGCAAAATCAGGTGAGGGAGGGTGGGGCATGGGATTCACGCTGAGTGTTAAGCAGTTTTTTGGGTCAAAAACTGCTTAACACTCAGCATGGCATGGGCATGTGCGCTCGTAAATCACCCATCACTAATGGGCAAACACATTGACTTGCAAAAAAAAAAAAATTTCACAGAAACTGAACACTGCCTCTCACAGCAATGCTAGCCAACATACTGATGCCGATGGTTCCTGGAACTCTTTTTTTTTTTTTTTTTACAAGTCACTAAATTCTAAAGTGGTTTATAGTACACCTCAGACTGGATAACTGAAAATGTTAACTCTATAGCAACACTTACATCTTCCACTCCCCGCCCCCCAATGTTTTGACTCCGGAAAACATGTGAAAAGTAGTAAATCCCATATACCTTACTATGCTAGGGTAGGGAGGGTTCCTAGAACTCTTACCTAGCGGAGAAAACCTGTACTACAAGGGGACTGGTTTCCAAAAGATAATTCCAGTTTTTTGCTCCCCCTTGGTATAATAGTCCAGGTGTTCTATGTCTTCACCAACACTTGATATTTTGTCTTTTTTTCATTTTATTTAGTTTTTGTTTTTTTTTTTTTTTTTGAGTTGGAGTCTCACTCTGTCACCCAGACTAGAGTGCAGTGGCTGCTCCCGGCCACCGCAGCCTCGACCTGCTGGGCTCTGGCGAGCCTTCCACCTCAGCCTTTCAAGTAGCTGGAACTACAGGCGCAAGCTACCACACCCGGCTGATTTTTTGATTTATTGTAGAGATGAGGTCTCACCAAGTTGCCCAGGCGGGTCTTGAACCCGCGGGCTCAGGCAATCCACTCACAGCCTCCCAAAGGCCAGGGATTTTGCTCCCCTTTGGCATAAGAGTCCAGGTGTTCTATGTCTTCACCAACACTTGATATTTTGTCTTTTTTGCACTTGATTTATGTGAGTGGGTATGTAGTGGTACCTCACTGTAATTTTAGTTTGAATTTCCCTGATGACTAATGAAGTTGAGCACATGGGTTGGCCTGAAGTCTGTGGGATCCAACAAATAGTGGAGACTCAGTCCCAATTACCAAGTGAGGACCTGTCAGACGCCATGAATACTCAGGGCAGGATCTTTTATTGTAACTCCTCCCAGAAATCCAGCTGAGGCAGAGAACTTGCCATTTTTCCTCTGCTATATGCAAATGTCTGTGGAATTTGTTATTTTATCTTGTTTATTTTCTAGTTCGTCTTTTCCTGTGAGCAGGTATTCCTGGATCCCAGCATGTTCGGGATGTGCGTCCTACCTGCACATGTCCAAGCTCTGTCCCTGTTTTCTCTGATCCTGAGGCTCTAGTTAGTTTCTCCAGATGCACATTTGCATTCAGGACATCCAGGGCTTTAATACCCACTTACTTCCCTAAGATCAGTTCCCACCTCCTTTTCCCCATCACAATTTTTTTATTCTTTGGACTCTTCCCTATTTATTTAAAAGACTGTTTCTCATATTTTGTTCATATTTCAGGTATAATAAAACTAGAATATTTCAGAAGTTTTAGTTCTCCATTTTTTTCAGGAATGAGATATAGCATATTAGGGGCACCCTAAAAAACCGGAATTATTTTTTGGAGGGCGGGTCCATTATAGTACAAGCATCCCCCACTCACCTCCAGGTGAGTGTTCTGGGAACACATTGGTATCAGCGTATCAGCTAGCTTTGTGGTGAGAGACTGTGTTCAGCTTCAGTAACTTTTTGTTTGGAGATTCTTTCAGTGCATTTGCCCATTTCATGATGGGTGATTTATGAGTGCACCTGCCCATACCACTCTGAGTATTCAGCAGTTTTTTACCAAAAATGGCATGACCTCAAGCCCCACCCTCCCAATTCACCCAATTTCACCCTGAGTGACTATTTTTTTGTTTCCCTGGGTAGAAAAAATCCTCAAGGGGAAACGTTTAGCCAATGTGGAAGAGGTGAAACAACAAATGGCAGAAACACTAAAAGGCGTCAAAATTAATGGGTTCAAAAACTGTTTTAAGCAGTGGAAAAAGCATCTCAATAGGTGTACTGCATCTAACAGAGTACTCTGAAGGTGACTATTTAAACATGTAAGTATAAATACATCATTTTTTATAAATAAATTCTGTGATTTGGGGGTCCCCCTCATATACTCTGGTCATGGTTATTCTGCTAGCAGACTCCCTGTTCCTTGTGATGGCAGGTTTGTTGTTGATGATGCATCAGCAGTTGGAAGGCCGTGGTTCTGATGCCCTGCACAGTGTTCCTACAAAGCTTCCTGTGAAGGTCCCCATCAGGAAAATCATCCAAATCACTCTCAAAGGAATATAGTCAAAGTATACCTCTATTCCAGTATGGAGAGAAAGATGAATCCTTGACTTCTCTGTGGCTCCATGTCACCATAGCTTTAAAAAGGCATTGACCTAATAAACAATCAGATGTAATGGTGGAAATTGATGATCCAAACATCTTATCCAGAATTGAGAATGTCTGTCCTTTCATTTATAAAAGTATAAGAAAAACATGAATTAGCTCACAAAGGAAACAAAAAGTTCAACAGAAGAGGTAAGGTTGTCTAATAATGTATTAAGCTTCAACAAACTATACTACATTTTAAAATTCTACAACATTGTCATATTTCTGTGATAATATTTCATGGCTAATAGAGTGATTTTGAAAGTGCCTTAAAACTAGATTGAATATAAAATTTGAAATCATAAAACCATACAGTTTATCCTGAACTAAGAAGTATTGATGGATCACAAACAGTTTTCTATCTTTAGCTGTCCACATGGTTTTTAACTTTAGTCTTGTATTCTTAGATCATGTCCAGTGAGAAATATAATTTGCTCCCATCTAGCATCCCTGGGGTAATTCTTATCTGAAATAGGCAAAATATCTTGGTTTGATTTTGTTTACTAAAGTCAGTTAGATAATTTTCCCATTTTAAACACCTTCAATGTAATTTAATGCATTTTCAATATTATCAATGAATGAAAATAAAAAGAGATTGTTTTCAAATTCATGACTGTAATGAGGGTATGTATTTTTTAAACATCTAAACAATCCTAATTCATCTTTCATTACAGAAGCAAAGGCATTTTAAAAAGTGATGTCGATCTCTGTGAAAATAAAGTCTCAAACATTGATATTTGCACCAATCACCTGAAAGATTTATGAAGAAAAATGAGTAGGGGGCCAACACTCCATGGAAGCTTGTGAATACCCCAATTGATCCTTTAGGGCTCTTTTTCAGCTGTCTGCAATAATGAACACATGGACTTCTGGTCATTAAATTCAGCTGACCCCATTTGGTAAACTGCTAAGAGCCTGGACTCTGACTGCCAACCATTAATATCTGTGTGAAAAATTCACCCTTTAAAAGCACTGATGACTTAATTAGAACTTTACAAAACAAAGACAAATTTTAAAAAATTCTTAGTAAAAGATAATTCTATGTTGAAAGCCAACTACAAGACAAGACTTACCGTTCTGCTTATCTTCTAAGAACTAATGTAATTACCACCTTAACAAGAAAAAATGAACAGCACATGTGTTGAAGAACAGCACGACCTGGATCACTATTTGTTTCCAATCATTTACATCTTTGTGATTATAGTCAGCATTCCAGCCAATATTGGTTCTCTGTGTGTGGCTTTCCTGCAAGCAAAGAAGGAAAGCGAGCTAGGAATTTACCTCTTCAGTTTATCGCTTTCGGATTTGCTGTATGCATTAACTCTCCCTCTATGGATTGATTATACCTGGAATGAAGACAACTGGACCTTCTCTCCTGCCTTGTGCAAAGGAAGTGCTTTCTTCACGTACATGAACTTCTACAGCAGCACAGCCTTCCTCACCTGCATCGCCGTAGACAGGTATTTAGCAGTTGTCTACCCTTTGAAGTTTTATTTCCTAAGGACCAGAAGATTTGCATTCATAGTCAGCCTCTTCATCTGGGTATTGGAAACCATTTTAAATGCTGTGATGTTGTGGAAAGACGAAATAGCTATTGAATACTGCGATGCCAAAAAGTCTAACTTTACTTTGTGCTATGACAAGTACCCTTTGGAGGAATGGCAAATCAAACTTAACTTGTTCAGGACGTGCATAGGCTATGCAATACCTTTGGTCACCATAATGATCTGCAACCAGAAAGTCTACCAAGCTGTGAGAGACAATAAAGCCACGGAAACCAGTGAAAAGAAGAGAATCATAAAACTTCTTGTTAGCATCACGCTGACTTTTGTCTTGTGTTTTACTCCCTTTCATGTGATGTTGCTGATACGCTGCATTTTAGAGCGCAATGGGAGGTTTGGGACTAGCAAGTCTGGGAAGCAGACTTACACAATATATAGAATCACGGTTGCATTAACAAGCTTAAATTGTGTGGCTGACCCAATTCTGTACTGTTTTGTAACAGAAACAGGAAGGTATGATATGTGGAATGTATTAAAACTCTGCACTGGGAAGTGTAAGACATCACAAAGACAAAGAAAAAGCATACTTTCTATGTCTACAAAAGATACTATGGAATTAGAAGTCCTGGAATAGGATCAAAGACCTTTTTTGAGGGAGGGAGGCTTAAGGTATAAAATACGACATCATCAAGATTACATTCTTAAAAGGAAATCCGATATAGAGAGAGACTAACACCTCTCCCCGTGTGAATTTTAATCTTGTCCAATAAAAATATTGTAAAAGTGCACTGTACAGCTCCCTCTCTGACTTTTATTATGAGGTATATTAAACAAAATTTAATATTTTCATTATGAGTCCAATTCATTCCTATTAATGATCGTTGTGTTTGTATCTGTACTATAACCCCTCAAAGGTGAGCAAGACATATAGGACCATGTGTCTTTAAGTCAGTAGCGTTTGTGTCTGCATTTTACTATTTTCCTTACCTTTTTCTTTTGATTTCAGGCTGTTAGTCATCAGTTCTCCCAGTGTTGTGTACTGGTCTCCAACAACCCCAACTACTAAATATTGCTTCTAATCTTCTCATTCATTAACAAATATATGCTGAACCCCACTTCATGTACTAGGTTTTGAGTTGAGTACTGGAACAACAAAAGAAATGGTCTCAAAGCCTCATGACATTTATATCGGTTCTGAAACCTAGCCACTGAGCTTGAAAGATTTCTACATCAACTAAAGGTAAACAGGCTCTGAGTATCTTTTTTTTTTTCCTTGAGTTGGAGTCTCACTCCATTGCCCAGGCTGGAGTACAGTGGCACGCTCATGGCCATCCCAGCATCGACCTGCTGGTCTCTAGTGATCCCTCCGCCTCAACCTTCCAAGCAGCCAGAACTAAAGGCACATGCTACCATGCCCAGCTAATTTTATTTTATTGTAGAGACGAGGGTCTAGCCAAGTTGCCCGAACTGTTCTCAAACCCGCAGGCTCAGGCAATCCACTCGCCTCGGCCTCCCAAAGTGCTGGAATTACAGGCTGAGCCAC